GAGCGCTGGCCTCCCGGGACAGAAAGAGCGGGGTGATGGACAAAATGCCACGAAAGGCATTGCCAACGATAAAAGGCTGATGGGGCCACGCTCATTAATATTTATTTTCCAAGACTGGTGGAAGGAGATTGTTTATTATTTAGGGAAGCATGAAAGGTCCTGGGGCGAGATTTTGCGCTGCCATTGATGCGCAGCAGTTTCAGCACAGTCACCAGGACCGTTTCAGAGTCACAACAGACAATTGGGACTGAGGTCAGAACTCAGCACTTGGTGCATCCCAAAGCTCTGAAGGGATCAGGAATGAGAAAGCTACAAGACAAAGATGGACTTCAAGACCCAGATTGGACAGACAGAAAACTGCGGTCCGGCTGCAGCAAAATACGGGACAGCACTTCCCTAAGGAAGCAGAGACTCTCCTCCTTGAACTGAGAGGACACCCTCCTGGAGTCTAAGTGGATTTTCTTTATTGTTCTACTTTTAGATGTGTGGGTGGACACTGAGTGCTGCCGGTTCAGTCTCTGAGGGCTTGAGAGAAGAGCAGGATCGCTGTTGCTCCAGTATCTGAGGACACAATTACGTCAATAGAAACAAACCTGCAAAGGTTTAATCCACCAAGGGCTGCAGCACGACAGCAGGCAGTATACAAAAAGAAGTCAAACATGTATTGGATGAAAAATAACATGATTGTGTATCACTGCTGATGTAACGCAGGAGGATGGGGAGCTCTGCCTGGGATTCTTGCATTCCCTGTGGATCTTGATCCCCTCAAGATCGCAGCAATATCCGTAAGGCACTACGGCCCAGCCCCAGAGCCAGCAGCCTAGGTGCCCAGGCAGGCTAAACACCAGTTGTGGACTGCCACCCACGAGTCCTGAAAAACTCTGCTGTCAAGTGCAGATGAGGGCATTCTGAAGAGGCTCTTGCAGGAGCGCATCTCAGCTTGGCATCCAAATTCCCAGATAATCTGCCAGTGGTTTGCATGCTCTGTAAACCCTCCTGAGACAGGATTACATGACTGCAGCATCTCTGCAGAGCTACTGTAGCATGATCCCCGTAACACAGACCATAAACACAGCAACAAAGTGCTCTAAGTAGAAACACATTCCCCTGCTCCAGCAAAGAATAATACAAGAAGAAAAAAAAAAAGAAAGAAACAAAAATAAGAAGATTCTGCCAGCCATTGGAATTGGGGAACTCAAAAGCCCCTGGGCCAGCTGTAAGATGCCCTACTCACATGCTTCAGCATGCGTGGGGAGAGCACAGAGGGGTACACATGCAAGTAGAAGTCTCCTCCACAGAGATGCTAAATCAGAAATCTGAAGTGACCAGGAAGCAAACTGAACCAAAGTCAAATTGCATCGTGCAGCCAGCCATTTCGGCAGTGGGAGCTGGACGTGGCTTTTCTTCCCCGACGCAAAGCCCGTCGCCAGCGACAAGCTTCTCCCAGCCTCAAAAAATCAGCACTGCCGCTTCTGTAACACCGTGCAGATTGCATCTTGGCCCAGGAAGCAGGCGAGCTATGGCTTTGACCAGCTAGCCACCAAGGGCAAAAAAAAGGGGAGCGTGGCTGGTATAGTCCTGAGAGCAATTAAGGTGAGTGGCCATCGCTCTCAATCCTACCCCTTCTGTTGTGCCTTCCGGAGCAAAATATCTCTGCCCCATAAAACAGCCTGTTCCTTACTCAGAGGTCATCCTTTAGTTTTCTAAACTGGCCCCAGCAGTCCCCAGACGCTGCAGCAGTCCCAGGACAGAGGGCTCCACGTCAGAATCCCAAACAAACAGTTCAGACGAGAACTCAGTGCATGGTAACTATACTGAAGCAGAGACAGGTTCGTCTGATCGTATTGTTGGTGGGTTTCTCCTGGTGATAGAGGGTTTCCATTTCTTCTTTTTCTTTTTTTCTTTTTTTTTTTTTTTTTTTAATGCTAAACTCATCTCCCATACTTTTCACACACTCAAGTCCACATGCCATGGTCTGTGGTTACGCCCTAGGAGTCTCCTACACAAAATCAACCATCCAGTAGTCAAGCAGGAGAACTTAACGCTAACAGGAAAGACCCCTTTTCCTTCCTGCATGCAGCTCAACCTATATGTGCAGGCATCAAAACCAGACCAATCTGCAAGAAACACCAATATACCAAGGATGGGGCTCTCGGGGCTTCTAGAAATTCAGCCCAACTTCAAGACAGCAAAGGGGAGGTGGGGGAGTCGTCACTAACACTCATCTATATTAAGGCTGATGAACTCCTGTATACACTTCCTGTACTGCAGCTCAGTAGGGCTGTTGCTGGGATATTGACCTGGTTGTCCAAAGGGGCCCTCTGCTTCTCGCATCTCCTCGTTCATTCGAGCCAGACGCAGCCTAGAGCGAGACAGAGAAAGCACAAGGGAGAGGTTTGGTTAAGCCTGGTGGCTATTTACGGGCAGCGTTCCTGTATACAGGCACTGGGAAGTCCTGTCTGCACTTACAAGGTAACTATGTCTGCATTGGCTGCCTGGACAGCAATACTGAGCGGGTCCTGCCCGTCGCCATCCACCGCGTGCTGATTCGCCCCTCGCTTGAGGAACAAGCAGACCTGACTGCAGAAGGGAAAGAAAAGACCATCAGAGCAGAAATTCCAGCTCGCCCACCCCACACTGCAGATGGCACTGTCCTTCCACAGGTAGGCACAGCTTCACTTATATTGGTCTAAAAAAAAAAAATAATAATCAGGAAACGCTGCGGTGGCACGGAGAAAGGAATGGGTGTACAGGGGCCCAATTACCCCTTATCTACCATCACGGGGGCAATTCTCCTTAAGACAATCAAGTTACTGATGTGATGTAGACAGGCATGTTTTGCAAATAACCTATCCACCAAACCCCAGCTCCCTTGCCCGCCTCACCCCATGACTCTCAGCGTTGCCACTGAATCTCAGTCCAAGGGTGACGGAGCACATCAGAGCAACGTGCAAAGAACTTACCCAGTATGGCCTAGGTATGTGGCATGATGCAAGGGAGCCCGGCCTCGGATATCTCTTTGGTTAACATCTGCCCCATTCTGCAGCAGGAAGTCACAGGCTATCAAGGAACCCTGGCAAGGTAAAGGGGAATTTCTAACTAAATTCAGCCAGCAGTACTGAGAGGATGCATAAGAACGTACCAGACTGTAAGCTGCCCGTTGTCAGTGCACGCTGAACTAGAGTCAAGACCTCACATCCGCAAATGCGGCCTCCCAGCTGCTCGCATAACGTACCCCCATCACAGCTTGAATCAGAGGAGTTTTGTTTTCATCTTCATCATTCACCCAGTTGATCTCAGCACCGTGTGCCAGTGCTTCTGCCATGAGAGGCAGGTTTCGGGCTTGCGCTGCCTTGTAGATCAACAAGCCAGGATGCAGCTCCCTCAGGTCCTCCAAATCTGATGCCTCCTGTTCAATCTCTGCTTCACCGCTTGACTCCTCTGACACCTCGCATTCTAAGAGGCAGAAAAGGATGGAGAGGGATGACCCAAAAGCTTTGCATTTCCAGTTTCTTACGTTCCCTGTTGCTCTTGGCACCAGTCCCAACCATCCATCCTGCCTTAGCACTAGCTGCCTCCCCACCCTTCCATCAACAGCCTACGACACTCACCTTCCTCTGTCACGCTGTCCACCACAGAGCCAAACACCAGGATATCGGTGCTGCCATCTGTGCTTCCTCCGAGCCCGCTGTCACTGCTCAGACCTGCAGGGCCAACAGAAGACAAACCAAACGCATTTTAATACACAGGCATTCCAGTACCAGGCACAGCTGAGACCACAGGGCTGCGCAGAATGTCACACACACATCGCACCGGGCGCTGCTGGCAAGGGAGAGGGGGACTGCTATCCCATTTAGCCCCAGTCAATAAAACTGCCCAAGGAAAAATTGCAAAGCCTTATGGTGTCCATGTCCCCACGCTGCCCTTCATGCAGGGATGCTCCGACATTGCCATGGCTGTTGAGGACAGCCCTTGCTGCAATCCATGAGGGACGCCGTGACGTAGACTGGAGCAGAGCAGCAGCAGAGACAGCTTTGCAGCAGGTTATGCCGTGTCATAAGCAAATAAAGATCCCTGTCTGCTTTTAGCACTAATAATCTCACTTTCCACTCTATCCATGCTCTCCCCAGAGCTTTTCGGTTGTCACTGGGGCACTTGCCAATGCATTGCTCTTGTGACAGATTATTGACCACGACTGGGCCAAATCACATCAGTAGTGTGTATCTCAAGCCAAGCTCTTAAAGCACTGTCCGTTCACTCATCCACCTTCACAGATATCCCTTCCCTTTCCCCACAGTGCTTCCTGCCTTCCCTGCTGGGCCGGTGAATGTTACAGGACAGCTGACTACATACGAGAAACAGAGTCATGAACTGATGAAGCAACTTGTCCGAGGACACGCAGTGTGTCAGTGGCAGAGCAACTTTCTACCTTTTCCAGCTTGCACCCAAAAGCAGTCAAGAAAATGACAGAAAGGAAGGAAGAAGCACGTGCAGGAATTGCCCCTGCGGGAACGGGGGTGGCACATCGTCTTTATCCTGAGGAATGCCTGGCTCCCTTGGGAACTCTGGCTGGACTCAGCTTCTTGCTGCTTTTAACTTCCCAGTGACTGTAAGGGCTGGGAGTGTCTGTCCTCCCAGAAGAAGAGGTCAATTCCCTGTGACCTACCCCAAGACCTACACTTCAACCATTGTGATTAGGAGAAAAAACAAGCCAGGTTGTAGCTGACAAAATGTTTCTAAAAATATGAGCTGAGTAGACTTTGCAAAGAGTAACAGCAGGAAAGCCTGCAAGAACTAAAGATCTGAGCCTTGAAAACCGTAGCAGAACAAGACATCTTAACCTTAAAGGCTGTCTGTTGAAATCTTCAGAGCAGCTACAGCTAGGTCCCCAATAAAGAAGTCTCTAAATCAGTGGTCCTGAAATCACGGGTCACAAGTAATCCTTCAGCACTGTTCTCAACAGCCAAAGGAGATAATGAAGCTACAACAGGAAAGGTTTAAAGTGGCACATAACGTGCATATCTTTTTTTGGATTTGCTGTCAGAAAAATCATTGCTGTTTTTTGCACAAAGCAAACATACTGCTTGGTGAGAAGATGCTCCCCGTTATGTCAGCACAAGTAAGGAGTGATTCCAACGAGGCCACATGGCACTACTCTAGATTTACATCAAAGCAAGAAAGGAGGATCTGGCTCAGATCACATGAATATTAATACATCAAATTCCTACTTCTGCTCCCGCTGAATCAGTGATAAAATTCATATTTTCTTCTACAGGAGCAAGATAAGGCTGTTGAGCAACTCTGAAGTCCTGCATCTCCCAAGTATTGTTTCTGTTGACTAATAACGCTGAATTCCTTAAAACTGGAATTGCTATTAATAGCACTGATTCAGACAAGCACTAAAGCACCTTCTTCACTGATTTCAAGAGATAACATGTACTTGTAAGAAAGCCTGTGATTTTTCTGGTGTGCTGACTCAGGACCTTAAATACTTCTCCTAAGTTCATACAATAACAAGCAATGGAGCTATGAAGTTTTTAAAAGTCACCCCTCCCCAGCTGAGTATGATACTGGACCACACGACTAGCCTGAGAGACATGTGGAGCATTTGAAGTAAACACTTCTTACTTCCTATTTGCCATAAGATCCCACATGTACAGGATTGGATCCTTTCTCTCGTCTGAGGGACAGTTGTTCCTTTAAGATGTAGTAACTCGACTGCTTTTTGAAAGCCTGCCAGCCCGTCTTTCCCACAAGCGACTGGTAACGTATGGGCTGAAAGAAAATACACTACTGCCTCTGAAGCTTGGTTTGGAATAAGTAAAATTTGGGCGTCTCTTTTGCTGCTAGCTGCCAGAGCGTCACCTTACCTCCGTCCAGGAGGAACGGCGTACCGCTCCCACCGGGACCAATGCCACTGCCACTCCATGGGCCACCTGTTAGCGGATGCTGCATAGAGATGTGGCTGGCACCTAGAGGAAGGTGGACGGAATATGAGGGGAGTTCATCGTCACAAACACAAAAAGAAAAATTGTCCGCAGTAAGATTTGCTAAAAAAGGAAAAAAAAAATTAAAAGCCAAAACTAAAACCAGAAAAAAGCCAATGGAATGCATAGTCTGGGAATAAAAGATGTTGGGAAAAAATCCCATCCACCAGAATGCAAACACCAGGGACTGACTGGATAGGATATTAAAATAATAAGTGTAATAAAAGAGCAATGGCCTGGAGTTTGTGCAACTAACTCCCCATCACTCCTCCGAAACATTTACCCTCTCTCCAATGAGGCCGATACCTTGCCTTAGCTCTGGTGCAATGCATGTGCCCTAGAAGAGCTGGGAGGTAAAGCGTGCCAGAAGCAGAGACACTTTCTTTGTACTTACTGCGTGGGCCGGAGCCAGCACCAGTGTCAAAGTAGGAGAAGAGAGAGTCCAGCTCATCAGGGCAGAAGAGGGAATCTCGACGGAACTTCCTCTCCAGGGTAGCTGCTATTTTACACAGAGATATTTTGAAATACATAGTTAATAACATGCAGATGAATAAATGAGACACAATTCTACAGCTGTATCTATACAGGCTGAGCTTGCATGTCCAACGCACCCCAGATGTGTCCAGCGCCATACTCATGCCCACATACACCACCAAAACCAAAGAGCTGGCCACAGGTGGTGATACACTGCAGACCAAGTCAACCCAGAGCGTTTTGAACAGCCAGAACCCTTCATAAGCACGGTCTCTTTTACAGACCAGGCAGGTAAAAATAAAAGTTTGAAACTTAATAAAAAGTGAGAAGCTGGAAAAATAAAATGCACAAAGCAAGCTTAGAAGTTGCCGGATCACCCTAGTGTAATGATCTCCTTTAGTCACAAGAACCTCCTCAAACAGATGAAAAGTGTTAGGAAATGGCTCTGAAGACCTGTGTCGACACGGTTTGTGCAACAGCATTTTTGCTTATACCTCTGGCAGGCTGCAGGTCTGAGAGAAAGACGGGGCCGCACACGTTATTAGGGCAGTCGTGTACACACCTACAAAGAGCGGTGGACAGGCCGACACAGCTCTGCTGCGTGTGCAGGTACATCTGGGGGCAAGGGAGGTTCCCACCTGATGACAACATGGCTGGTGATGCATTGCCCACTTCATGGCGGTACTTTCTACGAGCTGTGGGTGCTTTCGTGGTGCTGTTGTGTCTCTGGCACTTCTTCACACACCAGCGTCGAGGTTTCCGCTCATTCTCTGTTAAAGTCTCGCCATTTGCCAGCTTCTTAAGGAATTTCTTCTCCACGTACTTCACCTTGATCCAGGCTTCCTTGTCCTGCCTAAGAGAAGAACACCATAAAGCTGTGCACTGGGTCACATGAATCGCCTAAAGCAAACAGCTACAGTGAGATGAAGCTGCTCTGGGTCATTTTATCAACCTGGCTTTGAGTCCTAAAAAAAAAAAAAAATCACTGAGACCTGTATTAAGAACGGAGACTTTCTCAAACCTAAAAATATCTCCCATTTCAAAGCAAAACTAAGAAATGCAGTGTGTATCAGAGTGGAAGCACACCACGTGCTTCGGTTACATGTAGTTGTACAGTTTCAGAGCAGGTGTAAACCCCACAAGCCCTGGTTCCCAAGCACGTTTCACCAGGTTGCTGCCTGGTAACACCTCCCGGACCTTTCTGAGAGTCAAGCTCAGGCTAGCTACAGCGGGAGTGGGCTGAGGCAGATGTACCTGAGGTAGCCTGGGCCCTCAGTCACTCTTCACCTGACTTTCCCGAGAGCTTAGGGTATTGGGTTTGCGGTGTGGATGGACAGCTTTCCACAGGACCAAGAGGACCAGTGTGTGCGCTCAGACTCACCTGGAGCTCCCTGCTGTTGGTTTCTTAAGTCCCAGCTCTTCACACTGTGCCTCATAAATCTGATTCATGGTACTGTTCCCCAGCTCGCACATCAGCTGCAATACAACAGGGAATGAATGAAATACTCAGGTGAGGAGCTACCTTCCCTCTTGTCTAGCCTGCCACCAAGTAAGACTCCCTCCACGTCCACCATTTGTCTATCTCTTGCCGTTAAAAGCCAACACTCACTTTCAGTAACTCCGGCTCCCAGGAGTCCAGTGTGAGAGATCGAACTTTGGAACAGTGAACACCCAGACTCCTATTTATCCAAAAGGAAGAAAACTGAAATGGTTACATGCCTCAAAACAGAACTGCTCATGCATCATAAGATGAACAAGATCAATCCAGTTCCTACGCATTTATCTACACAGACATAGCTATGGCAGAGAGGTTTATGCATATGCATACATAGATGCACCTGCACACACAGGTACTGCAGCAAGCGATTACTTTTTAATCTATCTATATAAACATTATAGTCAATTGTAATTCAGGCTCTGTTGTTTTTTCCAGGAGCTTGCACTCCATCCCTGGCTGGCAGCACGGACCGCACATGCACGCAGTACCTGTGGATACCGGAGCACTCAATGCACAGCAGAATGCCCAGGTTGATACTGGCCCAGCGAGGATCTGGCTGACCACAGTCACAGCACTGGTCATTCCCAGGGATGCTCTGCACTCTCTGCAAGATGGACTCGCCCTTCACATTGCGCTCCCGGGAGTCGGTAGCGGAATCAATGCTGCTAGTAGACGGGGAAGCAGTCCGATCCAGTCTCTGCAAGGAAAAAAGGGTTCTAAGGTTCTGCAAAGCACTGTGGAACCAACCAGCGCTTTGCATACCAGAGGCATTGATAGGAAGAATATACCTGGAAGAATAAATGAGGGCTAGTCCAAGAAGGTAAAACCTCACTAATCTCTATTATTGCCACAAGACGGCGCCGCACCCCATCCCTGCTCTGAGAGCACGCAGAGCATCATCTAGCGAACTACCTGCTGTGATGATACCTTGCTTGCGCTTGTCTCAGCTAGGGAGCAAGCTCTTCCCTGGGGAAAATAATTCCTAGGGGAACATCAATCCAGAGAGTGATGGCAGAAAGTGAAGACATCAGGACAACACTGATTTAAAGCCTTGCCTTTCCCTCCGCCCAGCTTTATAAGTGTGGCTTTGGGTGGTGAACAATTGATGCCTTTCAGTCAGCACCGACATCAGCTCCCTTCCTGGAGGACAGATGAGTATTTCCAAATGGTTCACCCATGCACACTGGACCTGCCACAGCCCAAAAGCCCACTATCAGGGCTCTGAGACACAGTTACGGATCTTTCACGCCCCCATCACTCACTTCAATATAGTAGCTATCAGGACTCTCACGGTATGCAGAAGCAATGCTAGCTTGAACAGCCTGAATCCAGGCCTGACGCAGCTTCTCCGAGTCAGCCTGCAGCATGCAGCTCCTGTGAAGGAAGGAAATGAGTTGGAAAGAGCAAAAGGACAGGGTGCACATTTTGGTCAAAACTGTCCCACTTCACCCTCAGTGTAGCATTTCCAACAGGGGCAGCACCTTGATTTGACAGGCAAAGGGGCAAAAACTAATCCCACAAGCTTGCACTGTCAGAGGTGTTCCCTCTTCAAAAACTCCAGGCAGGCCTGCTAGCCGTTTTGAAAAGCTGACTACTGCCAGTCTCACTGCCTATATGTCTGTTAAGTATGTGTGGCCTAGATCTGACTTATGCTGATGTCTGACAAACTTCTTGCCTAGAACAAAGGCAGCGGTATCTCCCAGTCAGCATTCAATGGCCCAGGGCAGCATCTGCTCAAATGTAATCTCTTGCAGTTCCACGCGCAGTCCGGCTACCGTGGGGATGGCCTAGGGAAGCCACCAAACTTACTTGGTAGGTGAGACGACCTCAAAGCAAAACCTCCTCTCTATGTCTTCACACGGCTTGACAGTACAGAGCCGCAGGTCTTCCACCACTACCGTGAGGACATCCTGAAAGGGGGAGAACAGGTGGCTTTGTTGGCTCCCTGAAACCGTGTCACAGGCAGACCGCTCAGAAAACTCCTTCCCAAACCCTGCTGGTTAGCATACGCTGAGTCCAGAAAGAGCAGAGCCAGCCCACCACCGGACAACTCTAGGGCACTAGGAAGGGGTTATTCAGAACCAAAGCATAGGACAACATGCACATGAAGTGGCAGGCTCACTGAGGACTTCACCAACGTCCTCTGCTGAACAGGAATATTTAGTTCACCACAAACACCAGCTGCTGCCTCTTAGTTCTCAGTACAGGCTAACTTTGGAGCACAATAATGCCTGAATGGGCTTGCTGTCCCTCTGATCCGATTCTCCTCCCCGCTCCCCAGCAGAAGTCCCCAGCAAAGCAGGATACCAGACAAGTGGGCTAATCTGCCAGTGTCATCTGGGGTAGCCTCACTGACCTTTAGCTTTTTCTGGTACACCAGCTGACTGTTCTGTATGGAGAACCACCTCCTGAGGGAAGACAGACAGACATCAGAACGAGCAAACAGCAGAGCTACAGAGAAGCAGTTTGTTCTGCGGCAGAGCAGGATATCTCTCCATTTTAAGAGAGTGTCATTTATCCTAAGAAACTCAAAAGTAACGTCACAAGAAAAGCTCACACTTCTCCAGTGCCCTCCCTCAGAGAGAAAACAAAAGATTTACAGCCTTAGGGAATGACTCCTGGTACTGAGACGCTGTGATGGCAAGTGTTCTAGATATGTCAATGTATAGCAAGAAGGAAGGAAAGACAGGAGCAAAGGAGAAGGGCAGTCCCACATTACTGCCTAGCATTTCTGGGGCAGAGTCTGTGTGCACACTGGCCCTGGTGCAGGTAGTAAATCCAGTGCCATGTTACACTGGTTAGGGCATACGTGTCCTTGTGTATGTGCACAGTAGGCATACTCGACATTTACTGGGAAAGTTGGATTGCTTGCATGTGCCTCGCCAGATGTAGCGTGCCTGCTGCCTCTCCAAGCAAGCTGTCATAAGGCAAGCCAGAAATTCCTTGACATCATGAAGAATCTTCCAGGTGGGAAAAAGAAAAAACCATCTCGTAAAACCTTTTGTAAAAACCGGCAGCTCTACAAACAGCGTTGGAGAAAGTAATACGAATGAGTTGCTCATCTTGCTGTTTATACAGGCTACGCTACCCACCAGGCTGATTTCTCTGCACCCACTACAGCCTATGGGAGGCCAAGCAATGCCAAAGCTCCTGTTTCCTATGGCTAGAGTAAGGACAGGTGTGTGAAGGGATCTACCTTCTCAGGGGGCAACAAATCACCAGCTAGCAGCTTTCCATTAAAATACAAGTGACAGAAGGTCTGTGTGATGCTGACAGCAGAGGCAATTCCCTAGTGTCAATCTTCAGTGTTAAATCCAACCCCCCAAGACAGTTCCTCATCCCAAGACACAGCCTAAGATTTAGCAACCTGATCATCTTCATGGAGGGCAATGGAAGCCATGACCATCACCAAGGTTCACAAAGATGATACTGGAATACCAAAGCATAAAGAGTCAGAGGCTTGCAGTAAACTTATTTACAGCAGGTATTACATACTCGGTTTGCAAAAGAACTAGGTTCCCTAGGAAAATGAGATGAGAGAGGTTTCTCTTTCTTTTGTCACTGCTGAAATTTAAACAGAGATAAAAGACTACAAAAGGACTTGACATGCCTGTGGAGAAATGGGAAAAATATAGATAACTGGAGGCCATCCCATCTATGTGGGAGCCCATTTTGCTGAGCTGACATGGTTCCGCATCATTCAGAGCTGCTGTGACAGCAGCAGTCTATGCTCAAGGAGCTCTGCTGTCACACGAAGCTGAGCAGAAAGCTTGTCTCTCAGGTTCTGGTCTCTGCTCCTTGCAGCTCTGCTCTCCTGCTCACCATCCCAGACATTTCTGCCTGGTGCTGGCTCCTAGCCCAGCATCCTGAACCGAGGCATTTGCTGTTCTCTCTGCCTGCCCCCTCCCACTCACATGAGGGGGAGGCACTAACAGAGAATAGCTGAGTGACAGCGAGAAGGCGATGAGTAGGCTACAGGAGCTGTGAATAGCTAAGATGCGGGCAGATATGGCTGAGAGTAGGTGGGACTGAGCAGACAGAGATGGCTGTGGGGAGGATACAGACTGTGTATGGCTGGGATGTAGGACGACACAGGGAGGACAGCTGGGATTTGGGGGACAGGGAAAACTTGGAGCCCTTGACACTAACATTACTTCAGACATCAGGAAAACCAGAAAGTCCCGGAGCGTCATGTTCCCTCCAGGATAAATATCCTTTGGAGTGACCCTTGAATTCACAGCCAGGGGAGTTGCTAGAAGGGAGTTGCCTGGAACCGTTCATCTCTAAGTCAGGCACAGGTCGTGACATTAGCCTGACACATTTTGGAACCACCTCCTCTGCAAAGGTGCATGATGCCAGTGAAAGCAGCTATGCAATAGACTACGGACCAAGGCTATACTTTGCTTAGGAAACACCGAGCACGAAATCCTAAAACAGCGGCAAAAAAATCAGCTCCGATACCTTCCCTGTGCAACAGCCTGTGAGCACGGAACTCAAACACCGTGATGCACCGTGCGGTAGCTGCTGTTGTGATTTCTGGTTCCTCCAAGTGCAAACTTAGTACCTAAGTCTCAGGGGACCAGATGGCCTGAGGGGTAACAAAATTATACTAAATTTGCTTGGAATCTCCTTAGCACTAGAGGAAGCTTCAGAGAAAAGGAATCACTTATGCAACCCGTTCAGAGATCTCCAATAATTTCACGTCTCTTTTCCATGCAAATATAGGTAGTTTCTGTGCATGCTACAAACTGTTTACTGAACCATTTACTGTTTATTTATTCCAAAGTCTAACAACAGCACATCTGAGCCTTGCTGTGGTGTAGACTTTGAATGTATGCCATAGCAAAGTAAAAGATACCTTAATATTGTATCATTTTCCTGTTATGTGAGAGGAAGAAGTGTAGGTCAAAAAGGCATTGATTTCACGCATTAAAAACTCACTGGAAGGGTTTGAATCGTTTTGCGCAACCATGTATGAAACCCACTGACTATCTCAAGGGAAACTAAACGCACAAATATTGAGCAAGGCTAGAACATGAAACCTTTGCTTCCACTTTCCCAAGGTCTCTGACAGCTGTGGAGACTCCCGACTAGCGCAGGAGGCATATGAGCCTGGCATTCCCAGTGACCTATCAGATGAAATATTTATAAATTATTAAGAGCAGGGTCAGTGCACAGAAAGCCATTTCTCAGCTCCTGGCAGCAGAGCTGATATTTCCACTCTCACATATCTCCCCATCCCAGAGTAGACAGGTTTGATATTCATGGCATGTCCTGCTGTGTTAGGTATTTCTCTTAATCGTTATGAATTTACAGCTTTCCTAGGGCAAGACTGGAGCTACATTGTGCCCTATCGTCCCTGCACGGAACCTGGTCATTCTTCCATTGTGGAAGGCACTTTTTTCCTCCCCCCCCGCCTAGCATTTACTACGATGCAGCACAACATGAGCCGGCTCATTCCATGATGCAGCCTAAGAGGAATATACAGCTTCACAGAAAGAAGCGTACTTGGTTTTTAACAGGAGAATAACAATCACTTACGTAAACTACACAGCATCTAGTTCTTTTCCTGGTTAACGTATGTGTCTCCAACACACCAATATCGAAGCACTGCAAAGCAAGTGGCTTTGCAAGCTCAGCATGAGCTACAACACGCTGGTAGAAAATTTATGTGGTCTTAAAACACCATTGCAAGCAAGCAGATGCTTACTCCTCTTTTGCTCTGAGCTCACCTGGTGCCACATAGCCAGGTTAGTGTGTTGATAAGGCCACATTAATCTCTCTTGAGATACTGTTTCTCTCGGGAGGACTTACTCAGAGGCAGCGTTATGCTAACGCAGCTTCAGGTTCTTCAGAATCACTTCGGTTGAAAGGGACCTAGTCCAACCCTCCTGCTCAAGCAGGGCCAGCTAGAGCTGGTTGCCCAGAAGACTTTTGAATATCTCTACAGATGGAGACTTCACAACCTGTCTGGGCAACCTGCTCTGCTGCCTAGCCATCCTCACAGTAAAAAGGTGGTTTCTTGTGTTCAGACGGAATTTCACCTTTTTAATACGTGCCCATTGCCTCTGATCCTGTCACTATGCACTCTGAGAAGTCTGGCTCCCTCTTCTTCAATCCCTCCCATCAGGAATTTGTACACATTGACAAGATTCCCTCCGGAGCCTTCTCTTCTCCAGGCTGAACAGTTTCTGCTCTCTCAGCCTTTCCTCATACAAGAGATGTCCCAGCCCCTTAATCATCTCTGTGGCCCTTCACTGGACCCTCTCCAGCGAGTCCATATCCTTCTTGTGCTGGGGAGCCCACGACTCGACACTACGCTAGATGTGGCCTCACCAGTGCTGAGTAGAGAGTAAGGATCACCTCCCTCAACCTGCATGCAAAATGCTCCTAAAAGAAAAGTCTCTGTATGCAGAAACTATCAAGCCAACCTGATTTTAACTACTTAGCTTTTAACTCGGAATCCTTCCAGCGATGACAACAGTTGCTAAGATCTCATTAAAAGTGAAGTGTGTTCCTGTGCAGGCAGTATTAGCTGTATCCAGAATCTTAGCCCAAATATCAAATGGAACATGAGTTCTCACTCACCGATTCCATGTTTTGAAAGCATTGCTAGCTCTCTTGAAGAGGTAGCCTTCCATCACCACTCCATTCGGGGCATCAACATTAAACTCCACCTTTGAGTCATCGTAGGAGAAGTCCTGCAAATAAAAAGATTGAGACTCTAACATGACTGCACTCTCCAGGACTGCAATGGAGATGAGCCTCATCAAAGCATCAAGAAGAGAAAGACATCTGTGTCAAGATCCTAAGGTTCAGGCAGAGCTGCCTGTCACAGCATACCCCTCTGCCTTAGTGGGCTGCAGCCACGAACAGCGGTCATGAACTATCCTCATTCCAGTGAGCTCCTCTGTCCCTGTTGTTTGGAGGAAAGTACCACACATGCTGTATTTCCCCACTCTGGTAGCTGATAAGGAGAAAGGCAAGTAGCTTATCATCGTAAGGGCTACAAATTTCCAACATTTGGGGCAATCTGCAATATGAAATAAAGCAACAGAGGCGCTGTTCACTGGCCAAGAGAGTTAGCAATGCTGCTGCCACCCCTCTGTCCCGCAAGGGGCCAGGAACAGAACAAACCCCAGCCTTCTCCCACAGGGAAAACAGGCATGGTGATTTCTAGAGGAGAAGACTTATCAATTCCATTTTCATTAGCTATCATCATATGCCACCTCCAATCTGCGCTCACCCAATTCTCTATGCTATGCTACCGGTCAGAGCTGATTTGTCAGGTTTGGCACTGATTCATCAGATAGATCTCATGGATTCTGACAGCTGCTGAGCAAGACACAGAGCAGAGACTAGCAGCTGCTCTCACAGAACATGGATCCTTCTCCCTGGGCAATGGTCTGCCTTCTTCCCAAGAGAAACTGGGTCATGAAACCTAAATGACTTTCCCCTTTAACCTGGGGAACTAAGGCACATTGTCTCTTTGCACACCAATTCCACTCTAATGAGGTATTCTACCCACACCTCCCTCTCTCTCGAGCGCAAATATCTCTCCCTGTACTACTTGGTTCAAAGACACCACAGCGCAGCGAAAACAGCCCCATTAAGTTAAGTGCCTTTCCTAGTTCAGCATAAGACGACCCTTGTGATGCTGCGTTGCTAGGCAACATGCACTTCACTCTCATTAAGATGAGTTATTTTCATGTTCAGAGATGCAAGCTTGCCTGGGAGGTGTCATAATAAGAATAATACTGATACAGAAGGAGGAGATATAATGGGACAGGACTGAGTCATTCCATGGAAAGACAGCATGATGCCCAATTAGACACTAGAAACTGCTGTAAGGCACCCAATTAAGAGAGGCCTGCAGCCCCAAATTTTATTGCTGTAAGAGGGTGAATCCCACAGGGGTTCTCTTCTGCAGATGTCTTTCATGTACATATTGCAGACAAAGGCCAGAGGGAATTTTCCTCTAAATCATAGATATTTAAATGCGTGATTTTTGTAGAGTTGCTTCAAAGTGACAATTCAACAAATTTGATGAGACTCCGCACTGTTTTCTAATATATAATGCAGACTTTTCTGAAAAGTGCACAGCAAGTGTAGGGCAAAACTCTTCCAAAATTCCCTTAAAAATGACCACTTAGCTGTGCCTCATTTTATGGAAGAGGTAAAAATAAGGGGGAGGGCCTAAACATAATCACCTGACTTCTTCAGCTGTCCTTATATAATCAGTGTGATGGTAAGGAGGATATATTGCCCATGCGTGCAGGAGGAACAGATGGGCTGTATGCATCACTACAGTAAATCCACTAAAAATCGGTGGAGTCAAACCAGGTGTGAATTTAACCTCATTGTGTCTGCATTGTGTTACACCTGTCTACAAATGGAATGGCTAAAGCAGAATAGCTGAAGGCACGTGGAGCGTTCTTTGCCTTTGAAAGAACTCTAACCTGTGCCAAGCCCGGTTTTAGAAAAAGAAAATTATACACAAATACACCAAGCGCATATACAGCTGACAGAGCCATCTGGATGACATCCAGACGTAGAAACACATTACTAGGAAGAACGGCTTGTGTTTGCGTTACTTCGAAGATATTTCTCTTCCTTGTTCTCTCATTGGTTAGGAAACATCCCCAGGGCCAATTCTGCTCCTATTTCTGCTGGTGTAATACCTGAGCAAGTCCACTGCTATCAACAGAAGTACTGCAAGGCAGTTGAGGGCAGAATAGTTGACCAGAGCTGTAAGCTGGATTTGTAAAGTAGGCACAAATCAAGGGAGAGATCCGAGGGATAAGGACCAGACTGCCTCTTATCCCCGTGGCAGCAGTCTGATCCTCAGGGACACCTTGTTCCATCCCACTGCACTCTGCTTGGGAGCACCTGAAGTCTTTGCTATGAAGTTAATGAGAGTGTTGAGAGACAAATGAAGGGAAAGGGGAGGGTGATAAAATCCAGAAGTTATCCCCTTAATCAGTACCATTTTTCCTTTCTCAGCCAGGCAAAGCCAGAAGGGAAGCGTACAGAAATGGATCGGGTAGCCGAAAGGCAAAATCATGGCAGGTGCAATTATGAAACTTCCAGTGCACGAGAGCGAGCTTAAACTGCGGGCTTGAACAATGGATTCCTAGGCACATCACCTTGCCGTAGCCCATAGAGGGAGCTTTCTTACCACAGCCATTCAAAAGACGGGACAAATTTCTGGGAAAAAAGTTACTAGAACATCTGTTGAAAACTGACTCCAGGTCAAAGCTAGCTTAGGAACTGTCTGCAGACATCTTGCCAATGGCAATGAAACACCATGGTAGTGTGTTGCCACAGCTGGATACATGCAGATGCGTGACAATGAATCCCCTTAACTGGCAGATCTGCCCTTAATGTGTCCCTGTATCTGTTCTATTCATTGACACAAAAAGATTTTGATCCTGTTAGCTCTGGGAAATAAGTTGAAGGGTCCTGGCTGATGGACACTGCTCCTGCCAAGCACATCACCAGCTATGCCGTCAGTAAGTCTGTGACTCTTCTACGGGATGCAGCGCATCAGTGGACTGTCCGGCTCCACACAGAACTAGGAAATAAAAACCTTCCAGCCTTGTAAGCCAAGCTGCGAAGTCTGGGAGGTGCTGGTGGAGAAGGAACACATCACCCCTTCTACCACCTTCAGAGTAGCTTTCTTGATTCAAATCTTACCCTTGACAAAGCAGGGTATGAGTGTGCACACGTATGCTTTCTCTCGTCCCCTCCTTTTCCATTTCCTGCTATACATGAGATTTTAATGCACGATTTTAATAAACTACCTTTTACCAAATTCTTCCAATCATTGCAATGTACATGAGTAGGCAAGCCTACTAAATGAGTTTGGAGGGATTTATTAGGTCTGCATTTAGCACCTCATCATCTCTGTAATATGAAAAAGTGCTTGACACGGAAAAGGCTTCCTACGATTGGGATCTGAATGGCTTTGGCTACAACTGCATATGCAATCATGATTAGCAACAGCAGTGACATGTTGGATCACACATTGGTAAAATAAATTGGACGTCTTCCAAAACAAGAAACCAGATTTCTGCCATTATCTGCTTCCCTTTCCTTCAACTTTCAGTAAGTGACACCAATCTTGTCTCACTGTCCCCTCCCCTTCTCAGTCCTGTCACGCAGTTTACACAGAGGCTGCCTAGGAACGATATTCTTTTAGAAATGGCATCACAATGGTTTCCATGGGAGCACAGTGAACGCTGCTGAAGCAACAATGAAGTAACACATTCCAAGAGAGCCATCCATAGGGATGTGAAAAAGGACATTAATGTGGACACTTTCAAACCAGCAAATGGAAAGCAAAAACCCAGCACAGGCACAAAACAGACCCACGAGAGAAGAAAAAAAAAAGAAAAGAAAACACCCCAAAAGAAAGAACCCTATTTGAAGGTTGCCTCCTGGGCCACTCAGTTAAGAACTCCCTTGTCCATCTCCACACAGCGCGCACAGACACTACTCAGGCCAGGCAAGCTCTTCCCATTGCTCCTGCGAAGCAGCATTTCAGGCAGAGAAAACCGGCTGATGAAATTCAGGAAGTGTCCAGCTTCAGTGAACAGACTTAACGTGAAGAGTGAAGATGCCCCTCACCAGCCTGGAGCCCTTGGGCAGTAAGGAGCCCTGGCCAAGCCTTCCCACTGAAATAGCACGGTCTTGTTCCCAGGTTCATTCCTGTCCCAAAGGGCACAACACCTGGCTGCAAACACACGAAATCTTTCTCTAAAATACCAAGACTTCCTCAAAATTCTCTAAAATACAATCACTATGGCAATGTCCCTCCCTGAAAAGCCATAGCATTACTCCCTCACTATACCAATTCAATGTGGAAATAACGATACTGTCCTTTTCTGTACAATGTTTTGATTTCTACTGATAGAGAACACTATCAAAACTAGGCAATCGTGACCAGTGAATCATTTCAGTCCCGATAGTTTTAGACATTCAGAGAAACATATCTTACTACCAAACCTCTGTGTTGTTGTATTTTCAATCAATACTGTTTAGAATAAGTGACAACACATGTGATACATGCTTTTCCTCACAGAAGACAAAGGCTTTATCAAAAAGTGCCCTCTTTACTTAAGTAACCAATGATGCCCAGTATTCAACAATAATAGTATGTACACTAACAACATTACGTATACATCCATGCATTGAAAAGAACTTCTCCTGGAAGTTAAAAGCTGTGACTAGTTTTGCTATTCGATTTAAAGAGAACATAATTCAGAGGAATATTCACATTCCCTAAAGATGCACACACCCCCCTTCTGCACAAACACTGGTGCATGCACATTCTCTTCTAGTGCCTGAATATATTTCAAGCTTTTCTCTATCTGGCTATTTTTACCACTTTGTATATGCTGTGTACAATCCAAGACCCTCAGAGGCAGATGGGATTTGGCGGAGGGCTCCCCCACCTACATTCCGGTTCTGCACAGACAGCTTTCATTCATTCTGGCCAAATCCCATTTACAGACCTTTTGTTTCTTGAATTTCCTAATGCCAAATGACCTCCCTGCTCTGCCGCTTGCCAGCAGATGATGCACAGAGATCCGTGCCCTGCCTCAGAGCATTTCCATCCCAGAAACAGAACAAAACACATTTGCCCTGCTGCAGTAAAAAAGCTGTACTTGCTTTTGGGTCACATCAGCAAGCAAGGTCCTACAGGAACAATCCTTGCTCTCCCAGGGAAAAGCCCCCTCTAAACTTTCTCCCCAAGTCAAACCAACCCTGCAGGAATCTCCTTACCAAGAGGTATTCAAGCCTGCCGAAAATCTTCATGATGCCAGCTGCAAGGGAGGTTTTGCTGCTCTTGCCTAGAGAGCAGGGAGCAGCTCCGTGTGTCCTCTCTCTCTCCGTTCGCTCTCTAGAGTAGCATCTCTGCTAAGCACTGTGGGCTGGCAGGGAAGGAGGGATTTCTTTTTTCAGCCCTTTCTCCTTTACCCCTCCTACTCCTTTTTGGGAAGCCTTAAGCTCTGCCGTTGGCTCCTGTCAAAGCAAGGGGCACTAGGCAAAGGAAGTCTGCTGGCCTCGGAGGACCACCTGCTCACCCCCTCCTCCTGCCTCCTGTTCACAATCAACCAGCTCAGAGCAAGGGCTAATTATCATACAGCTGCCAGGGAGGCACAGAAGGGAGCAGGAGAAGCCAGGCACCAGAGAGCAAAGTTGACAGGAAGACGCTCACCGAGTGCCTCCCTGACCCGAACAGAGCCGGGCTCGTCCGCCTCTAGCGGGGTCGCTTCCTGGAGCACAGCCACCCTTTGGCCAGTAATTCCACCTCTGCTCCACCACAGCCACCGAAATCAGGGTGTTGAAGTGCCATATGGCCCCTCGTTTGTTATCTACCAGCTGGACTAAATGAGGCAGAGAGCTCTGCCTTGGCACTCCAACCTCCCTTCCCGTGCAAACGGGAACAGAAGCACGATTGCTTCCCTTCTACGCCGGACTGCAAAGCGAAGCAAAGCGAAGCAGCTTTTATATAGCTCGGTAGTCTTCCACTTTGAGCCTGGCCTGTCAGTTCTGGTGCAGTGGAAGGATTCAGGAAGATCTGCATCTGCTAAGGGGGACTGGTTTAAATGTTACCATTTCTCTCCTCATTTCCCATTGGAAAAAACTCCTAGGCCCCTGTGTTCCAGTGCTAAGTTCTCCAAAATGTTTCTCTTAAGTGGTCCAACCTCCACCAGGCCCTGTGTGCCTTTGTGCGTCCATCTGAAGCAGCTGAGCCCGCATGAACACATACAAATTCATCACATGTACAGGTTAAGGCAGTTTAGTTCACCACACAAGAGAAATGTGGGAAGCTACAAGACTATCTCCTTAGCCTTTGCAGAAATTTATTCCACACAGGAGTCCTTGCACACACGCATCGCACGCGTGGTCAGAAGAAAGGCACCCCCAGCCTTCATGCTGAAGCTCTCCTCTCTCTTTGCACAAAAGGAAGATAACTGAAATATTTATCGTAGCCCATAAAAATCAAATCTTTTCCTTTCCTCTTGCTGATTTTCTTTTGTGTAAGTGAGCATTATTTTCCTATGAAGTGTGAAGCTGCAAATGGAGTTCTTCAAGGTTTTGGAGCTGGGAAAGCAGACAGGGCAGTGGTTAAAATGACAGCTTGAAATGATAGCTGCCCTAGGAATCCATCCTAAAGGTGGAAAATGTCAGTGAGGGAAGATGGGGAAAGGGTGGCACAGGAAAAAAGACATCTGAATTCTAGTATCAAAGAAAATAGTCAAGATTTGTGCTGAGTTTCTCTCCTACCAACTTTATTTTAATTAAAACTATAAGGAAACAAAATAGCACAGACCACTTCCTTCTGAACTTGGCTCTCGGAGAGCTGCCCTCCATGCGTCACAAAGCTGCCCAAAGACAATTCAATTCCCTGTCTTCAGAATCCGCGCAGCTCCTCCACCCCAAGAACACTTCAAAACGTATTATTTAAACTAGATTCCCTCCCTTGCTGTCACGCCTTAGCAGGCTGTTTGGGAAGACACCGCGTTGAAGAAATAAGGATACTTCTGCCACTCCTCTCTAATTAAGCACAACTAAATCTCCAATTTTTTCAAGAGACCAGAGGGTATTCTGGGCTCAGCATGGAGACATGTATTCAAATACGTGCTGCGCTCCCTTTGGAGATGGCGAGATGCTCACCAGATGCAGAGCGCCGCGCTCCATTGCAAAGGGAGGAGCAACACTGACTCGGAGTAGCTGAAAAGCAGTCTCAGTGCCAGGCAGGAAGCTTTAAATCGTAAATCGCAGTAGGGATGTCCAGCTCTCTTACAAGCTTATGCAGAGAGCCACAGCTCTATGCATATGTATCCTGATGAAGAGTAATTGCTCCTTCTCCCTCTTGGAACCTGACCTCTGCTTCATTCCCTGCTAGTCTAGTCAGCAAATCCACGTAAAGAGATTTAACTGAAATGCACTGCGCGAGAGAGATTTTCCATGTTCCCTCGAATGAAGTCATCACTCCAGAGTCCCAGGGGAACTGAGAGTTCACAGATGGATTTACCCCTCCCTCAGAACACTTAACCAAAGGGAGCACATGCACAGGCTGATTCACAGGGAATGTCTGTCATTAGCTTTCAAATCTGGTTACGTTTCCATTTCATGGGTTATGACATTTTTGAGAGCGAGCGTTAGAAAGAAAACAACAGCCACTTAGAATCCTCCTGTCAAGAAGTATTGATCCACACAAGTGTCTGCCAGATATGGACTCGTTAGCGATTCCCACTCGGGGCTTGGTTCAGCTATTTCTCAGGGCTCTCTGAAATCCCCTCTTACTGTGCCCACAGAGGGTGAGAACGTGTGTGTGTGTGTATGTTGAAAGTCCACCAATGCCCTCTGGTTCCAAGCCTGTGCAGCCAATTCACCTCCCACCAGACCCACGGTCCTCAAAGGATCCTAGGCACCAAACATGCCACGTACTGCTGCCACTGCAACACTCCGAGTCAACACTGACCACCATACAGAGTAAACTGAAATCTGATTTTAGCACAGGACTGAAAACAACTTTGATGAGGATGAAACCAAATTCACTTGAAACTGGGCTTTAAAATTACATCTCCAGTGTTCAGGTTACAGCACTAATGTTGTGGCAAGGTTTCTTGGTTTTGCTTTCAAAGGCAAGGCTTAGTAAACATCCAGAGCAGCAAAGTGCTAATTCTGAGCAATGCAGATGGCAGAACAAGGAAATGCATGCGGGTACTCACCTGCAGGAGGGTCTGCAGGGGCAGGTCAGCAATCCATGAAAAAGAGAAGGAAAAGAAAAAAATAAATTAGTTGATGTTTCCACAAGCCTCAAATTTGGAATCATTCCCAGATGAATGGTCTGGAAAATCAGAGCCCACATTAACCAAAGATGCCTCCCTACTGAAGGCTCAGACTTGTTTGATAATAAATCCCATTATCTTGCCAGTTCATGGTGGTTCCTCCCAATTACAGGAGGTGAGAGCACATACACAGGGGGTTACGATAGCTCAGCTGAAAGGAACAGCTTGCTCAGCCACGGCAGCTCTATTGCTTGGGTCCCCGTGGACCTTTCCAAAGTTACGCTGCTCGAGACTGTAGCCACGTCATGTCACAGGAGCTAAGGAAGAATCATCTGAACTGCAGTTTGGAGCATGCTTGTATGAACAAAGTTCATGGCAGCACACTCCTCTCTCAATAGCAGTACAGAGTCCTGCTCTCTCTCCCCCACGACCCATTAACATCACTTCGGTACAGCATGAGTTCCCAACAAATGACGAAAAGACCCTGCAGCAAGTCCTGTCCAAAGCAGTGCATCCACTCATTCATCTGCTGGATGATTTATCAGGGATTCTGGCCACCTGGTTGGGCTGGGCACTCAGGCATGCTGCCATACCATGGGGCAAGGCAGGGAGAAGCCCGGAGAAGCGTCAGAAGGGACATGCTAACACTGCAGTAGCTGGAGATCATAGGGCTTGCCACACAAAAGCTAGCTTGCTCAGCCAGAGGAAGGACGCGAGACGGAGGGGGGAACAAAAGGAGGCCCCTCATCAGATGGCAGTTGCCACTGCGTGATCCGGACAACCGTGCTGATAGGGAGAAGTGCTGCGTGCACCAAGCTGCAGCCCCAGGACTCACCCTCTGCTGTATCAGTGCATGCTTGTGCTCCATCTCCCTCTTCTCCACTGCAGAATCAATCACCAGCTGGTCCAGCTAAAGGCAGGGAGGAGAACATCAGGTATAAGAGTCAGGAAGGAGGTTTATGAGCCACTGTCCATCTCTGCTTCCCTGCTCTGGGATTACACCAGCACTACCTAACATCAGAAGTCCCCACAAGAGGGAGAAAAGGGCCGTGTTTGGGTGTGCACTGAAAGTGACCACAGCTCTTGGCTGCCGCCCCATAGCGCAGCATGGTTTATCGAACATCCAACAAGCGTGATGCCCTGATCACTCCCTGATACCAAGAACGGTAGCTGAATAGGAACAAGGATATCCTTTCAGGGTGAGGGGGTACAAACAGGCAGATTGAGTCAACCATATTCCCTGTCCCCTCACCTCTGTGGCTAGTTTCTTCATGTAGGGGTCCAGTTCATGGAGAAGACTGTAGCCCTGCTGGAAAAAGGTGTACTGGGCATGCATGAAGGACAGCATCTGGGGAGGGAAACAACAGCAAGGTCAGAACAGGTTCTGGGACAAAGCGAGTGTGAAAAGTCCTTATCCCTTACTACCCACAAACAAATCTCTGCAGGTCTAACCCTTTCCCTTCCCAAAGCAATCTATGCTTTAGATGCCTCTCCCTCTTCTCCTTCCTTCCTCTCACAAATCCTTCCACACTGTCAGGCAACCCCTGGTCTGAGCACAAAGCAGCAAAAGCAGTGTCCTTCACCCCTGAAAGTCCCCTCCAGTTCTGGCCTGTGGAGTATCCTGCTGGTCCTTCATTCTCCTCTCGTTAGCATACCTGCAGCCCCCAGAGCAGTCCCAGACAGTATCTCCAGGGCAGACCGAGGAGTCGGTATGTCGACCCATGCAACCTGAAATGGAGAGGGCTGCCTTTCATTGAGTCACTGAGAGCAGCCACAGAAAAAAAAGAGCCCTTACCGCATCCAGTATTTCAAACTTCTTCTTGGCCTGCAGGACATTGATCTGTGAAGGAATCAAGATAAGACTCTCAGCACTAAGCAGTTTGGCACGGAGATCTATGCACAAACAACTTGCTGCAATAACCCTAGCAGCAAACCACAAACTATTCAAGGACATTTTCAGAAACTAACTTTCTGAAAAGACAGTTCTGGTGAGTTCCAGGTGGAATAAAAAGGGAAGCAGCATAGACACATTTTATGACCTGGGCTGCTACTGATTAAGGTCACTGCAAGGTGACTATTTCAAGCAGATGTGATCAGTTGCAGAACTCACAGCCCCACCAGTGAAGGTCCTCGCATCCCAGCACAGCCTACTCTTTCATACAGACAGCCTGGATTATACCAAAAGGCAGCTCAAAACCCTGGCACCTACTGCAGTACGGGGCTTTGCTAAGCCACACATGGGTTCGTAGTGGCACAACTACACCAGAGCCTGGGACTAGAGCAAGCCTTGGTGGTTTCATGCTCCATCACACACCAGTCCTAAGGATTCCCTGCTTCAGGGGCAGAGGGCAAAGCATCCAATGGATTAGTTAATCCAGTACCCTTTTTAACCCAGCTGTAAGACTCTACTTGCCCTCTCTCATTCCTCAACTTCTTCATTCCCTACAGTAGATTATTTAGCAATTTGCCTGTGATGTCTTGTTCTGTACTGGGAAATGGAGTCAGAGCTGTGGGCACAGACACCAACCTGCAACACGTAGTCTAGGGCCAGATGCCGGAAACACTTTCTGGTTATGGTCAAGGTGCCTGTTGCCTCCTCCACTTCATGGGGCTTGTGCCGAGGTGCCTGGGCATTCTTCACCAGAGAAATCTCCATGTCTTCTCGCACCTTGTCAAACTGCTTCTTGGTTTCCTTGAACTTCCGGACATCACTGGAACCCAAAGAACATGAGATTGTGAGAATCACTGTCACAGCCAGAATATTGCTGATACCAGCAGAGCAGGGAGAGGTGCAACCAGGTACACTATGATCACTCAGAGGTCCTGCTCTAGATGCCATGGGGATCCTAACCCACCCCACCAAGCTCCACTGTGTCCAGCTGGATTGACTCCATATTAACTCTAAACAGTCTTTCTTTAGAGACAGATGGCAAGGAAAGATATTGGACCTTACATACTGCCTTCAAAGCCTTAAGGAAATTCTCCAAGGATCGCATCCAGAAAGCCAGGCCAGATGGCATCCAGCCCTAAAGACAGTCCATAATTGCCCTCAGAATAAGTGGTGAGCAGAACATTTCAGAACCTACCTGTGAAAACACATGCTTCATATTGCACTTCGTAAAAAGAGTAAAACCAGCTTTTCAAATTCAGGACAGGGCATTCAGCTAGGGCAGCCAGGCCATTCACGTGCATCTCTAGCTGATTCTGTCTTGTCTGACTGCAAAATCCAGACATTTCACTATTCTTTTCCCCTTTTATAATAGGCACATTTATTAACATTTGGAAATAAATGATCCACACTATGAACTTTCAAAGTTTTACGTGCCCCTAGAGACATTGCATGGGATCAGGGGTCTGCCTGGCAGGGGGAGGCTATAAAGGCACAGCAACAGCCAGGGGGTTTTTGAGTTTGGTTGTTTTTTTTAATTAACTAGCAGGTACCAATCAGGCAGGACTTGATTTGAGTTGCATGACCACCAAGAAATGAGGACAGCAAATCCTGAAGATCAGCTCTTGCAAGCGACCCTGGTTCCTCAGGAGTTCAAAGCAGCAATGCTGAATTACAGCAGATGTAACACACTTCTGTCCAGTGGAGCTCTCTTTACCTCAATTATAAATTGTTATAACTTAAAGCCATTAAAAACTGTTAATAAATAAGTAGCATCCACTTATTCTTTGCCCTAGGGAAGGCAAAGATCCTCAGTTGAACATGAGAGTCAGACAATAAACGCTGAACTCTGCCCTATGGCAAACTGTTTGAAGTTGCATGCACTTCTGTATGGATCAGCCTCTGGCCAAGAGAGTCTATCACGGGCAGGTACAGTAAGGATAAATGAAAACAGAGGTGATTGGATTACTGTTCTGGTGGTTGTTGCTTCTTCACATCACCCTGAATGCTCAGGGCTGCTGCATTACATGGCCATCTAACTCCATTCACAGGGTCACTTTTGCTTTTTGAGGTCACTTGCAGCAAAGGGCTGTGAGGATTTTACAGCGCTTTTGATCCAGCTTTGGAGAGAACGGCTTCCTCATCTGTGCATACACCCCGTGGAAAGGAGCAGGACTCTGGAGGCACGTGCTACTGCTGGAAGTTCTCAGCTAGCTCTAAGGCAGGCTGCAGCAGCACGACTGCAACCTCGAGACTTAGTTAATAAAACCCTTCCACTCAGCAAGGTCTGTGGCTTGGAAACATGCTAAGGTAGTCACAGACCATCTGGCTACTGGCAGCATGGGTAGGGCAAGCTGACCTCTCCTGTGTGTACCACTTACACCAGGCAAAGACCATCAGGGCTCAGGGACAGGGAGGGCAGCTTAGAGGGTAAATACTGCCCTCTCAGATATGTATGAATCGCCATGCGAGGGCACAGTTCCCGCTGTTCCTTTGTTCCTGTTGTCAGCCAGAAAGTTGTAGATTGGCCCTAGGTGGATTATTCAAAATCATTCCAAGCATAGAAATTGTTTTCCAACCAAGGGCAGGAGCAATGCAAAGATCAAAGCACCAGGGCCCGCAAGCATGGAGGTTGAGCAGTACAAATGCAAAAAAGACTAAGTTGCAAAGATGCTGAAAAGATGACAGATCCAAAATGAAGGTGAAATTCCCCTTTCCGACTGCCAGCCTTAAGCAGATTAAATCTGAGCTCATCAGAGAAATGATTATAGATAAAGTGGGGGTAGGGTGAGTGCTAGGCAAAAAGATGGGGATGCGGAATGGGGGGGTCAGCTAGGGACCCCCTCCCTCCATCAAGCCACACAGATGCTGAGGGATTCACAGTCAATTACCAGTACCCATGGCAACCAGCTTAGCTGAAGGCCTCGCTTGCCTCTCTGACCTACATTCAGCTGCCTTGGGATCCTGTGCGGCACTAGGTACCTGCTCTGGGGAAAAGAGGCACTCGGAGAAAACACGTTAATGCAGCAATGGCAGGGACAGCCTGCCGAGAGCCTTGATCAAAGGTACAGCCTGTCCCCATTCAATTAACTTCCCGGGCTCAGTTCTTCTGTACCTCAGGCCTGCCACGTGCAGGTTCACATCCTTAATATGCAGCTTTCCGCATTGCTCACAGTGGGGCATTGCAAACTCGCTTTCCATTAGCGGAGGACTCTGAACCAGTGGTCAAGCTCCAAGTTGAAGGCACGGTGATTTTAGCTGCTCCCTCCACGCAAGAAAGGCTCTCCTGTCTGAAACTCATCTTCCAGACAGATGCTCAGGTTACTCCAGAAGAGCAGGGCTGCTGTAATTTTGAGTGACTATGCATGTTGTGTGAGGAGCTAAGAACACAATGATTCCGCTGGACCCCAAAGGCATTTGGCAGTAAAGTTCCTCCCTTCTGCAAGCATGCACTGCTTTAAACCAGTAACAAAACTCTGCACCAAACATAAGATGTAGAGCTGGCCCTGCTCTGCAGGGATCTGAATTCTGGGATGTGTTTAACCTAAAGGATCAGTGAGAAGCAGCAAAGATGGAGTCTGCAGATGAACTTCACCAGACTTCAGGATGATGCTCTGATCTGGAATTATGCCTCATGTCCAGCTTTAACTATCAGCTGGGAACAGGATGAAAACATCTGATTGACAACTGAACCAAATAATAGCATAGCAAGATGACAGCAACAGCCATCACACAAAATAGATCCTTTCCTCTGCCCTTCAGCGTCCCTCCTGTTCCAAGCAGCGCCTTCAATAGCTGTGTTGAGTAGTTCTGTTTCCAATGCACAAAGGACAGGTGCAATG